CGTGCACGCTTTCTATAAAATATATTTGAATTTATAGAGGCATTTAAATAAGTGAAAAATATTATACTACTTAAGTGGGGATTTCTGTCGGGCTTTGCCGTCGGAGACTACCGGGTAAAAGCCCCTCCAAATGTCTGGTGTAACTGCTATGTCTTGGCATTATTCAGCACGATAAAAGACATTGTCACATCAACTGGCTAGTCCCTTCTAACCGAAAACACATTTCAGAATTTCGGCCAAAGTTTCACGACGTAGGCCAACTGCTGTGTGCACAAGCTGGGCTGAATGACAGTGTTTACCTGCATGCAAGAAGAAAGTGTAAGGAGTTATCGCGAGCCCCCTGCTGTCTGCCGCCACTTATATTCCCCTGCCTCGTCGTCTCGCACCTGCGTGAAAAAAAGAATACACATCGATGTATCTCACCATTCACATGCTATATCTAGCACAGTAATCCTGTAAATATGCAGGTTTGACGGGAATTGGCTGGAAATAAACGCAAGCCTGTCGAATCGTCAGCTGATTTTTTAATTGGAATTTGCGCAACTGTAAAGCGACGGTCGGGGACAGCTAATAGAGATCAGAAGGAACCATATAGAGAAAAGTTTTGATAGGAAACCTGCAACCACATGACACCCGTTGCCCATCGCCTGCAGCGCAATACGAAATCTCGGACTTACACCACGAGAGTATTGATATTCGTTGGCGGATTGATCTTTGCGAAACTTATCATTACTGTAACATTTGACTTCTCTGTGAGAAGCGCCAAATCTTGGACTGTCTTTCTTCGAGCGCAGTTTATTTTTGTGAAACGCATTTTGACCGCCACGAACGACGACGTACTCCGTGTTCCTCATAAAGTGGGCGCGGCACCGGTAACTTGTGCGCGAATTTATTTATAGTGAGGCAGACTTGCGTAGTATCGACCGCGCTCTCTCCCCACCCACCAAGCTTCAGGGGCAAGACGATCAGAGGTGGACTCCGGTGCACTGGCTGTCAAATTTAGACAACCGTCTACGCGTGCTACGCAAAACCTGGTCCCCACGTCGTGTACCGGGTCTTAATGGGCAGGTCAGCTGTCACGTGCGTCAGGGTGCCATAAAGGCCACCTTAAGAAGAAGCCAGTGGGTCCGACTCGGAGTCCCCGAAGTAGTCACTCTACACACGCAAAAAGTCGAACGTCATCACCGACGATGTCCGCCGTGCACATCACAGCAGAGCGTGTGCAGCGACGGCGACATGCGCGTGAATTAGTTTACAATGATAATAGAAGCAAGCTGGATCTACAGCAATCTCTCCTCCCTGACAGACCGGAGTCTAGAGCATGGACAGAGTCGAGACAAAGCTAAATATGACGTCTACGCGTGCCACACGCGTCTGATCCAAGCACAATGGACCGGGATTTTACGCAACGAGAAAGCGGGGACGGCTCAGATCCCAGTTAGGTGGGAGTGTTTTAAAGGCCAAAGAAAGGAGAGGCCATTGCAACCTGACCCTCCGTCCTAGTCGGCAGCTTCCCAAGCCACGGATTTTAGTGCAACAGATTTTTTAACATATACCGTGGGCTCTGAGCGCCGTGGGAATAGAGTTCTCAGATCAGAAGAAGAAGCGATCGCTGGAACAATGGCTTTATTCGCCTGACGTTTCGGATTCTCTCTTGAATCCATCATCAGAGACAGTTGCAGAAAAGGGTGGCTAGTGTACAGGAAGCGGCAGTATTTATAGGATGCGGTCACCATGCTACCGCATACCTACAGCAATTAACCGTGCTCCCTTCATCAATGATTGTTCCCCGCTGGTGCGCTAATTGCTTGATGGCCGGCATGCAAGTTGTTAATTGCTGACATCTCATCACCCGTGTTGGATGCTGGAGTGATGATTGCTCGGCCATCTGGCTCACCGGCTTGCGCGCTCCTCGAGTGGTCAATTGCTTTGGCCAGTCTATGCCTCAGTATGGAATATGGAGTGGGGATGTCGTTGCACTTGTTGATAGACTGAGGTCCCGTGAACCATGACTCAAGCAACTCGCGGCTCACGCGATTATCCCCTCTCGCGAGAATTTCGGCCTCATCGAACTTGAATGTGTGGCCGGGTCTCGTCGAATGGGCCGAGACCCGGCCACACATTCAAGTTCGATGAGGCCGAAATTCTCGCGAGAGGGGATAATCGCGTGAGCCGCGAGTTGCTTGAGTCATGGTTCACGGGACCTCAGTCTATCAACAATACACACAAAGTTATTTCCACGGAGACCAAATTACCCCGTCAGTTGGCGAACTTTCCAGTCTCGACTGTTTACGCACCAGATTTATTATGGTGAGGAATTCGTTGATGTGCTGTAAGGATGAATTCCCCAGTAGCGGCCATGCTCTCTCTCTCTCTCTTCCGTCTCCCATGCTCCTGTCTTCGGTCTGAGCCTGTCAACCATCTGGTGCTGAGAATGTGCGCAGTGACTGACGTGACATGAGAGCCTACGTCTAGGTGTGCTATCACATCTTTCTATGTACGTCAGTAGTTATGGCCTCGCGTGGACTTTACCTCGCCTGTCTAGCGCGTCTCGAGTCAACCTAACCCCCGTCTCGGGTCGCCGCGCGATGTTACTATCAACTGATACGGTGGATACCCATCTGGAAGCAAAATATGGGATGGTTGAGCTTCCATTTTCATAACCCAGTTATCGTGCCTTTCCTTTAAACCATGATTGGCCATTCATCCTGGAACTTGACTTTCGGGGCAGTACCGCCGGGCCTTATAATAAAAAGGAACTCAGGGCCGCATCATATACTTAGCTAAATGACAGCACATGCATTTGGAGTATACGATAGTAAAACTGGCGTTCTGTAGAAGATGACGGTTTAGTCACCAAAAATAAACGTTCAAATTGCCGCTTTCAAGATTTAATATGTGCGAAAACGCCCGACTTGGTGAGAAATCCTGATTTGGGATAGGTAAAAGGCGAGGATAATTACGAGTTCAGCCCACTTTGTGTGTAGAAAAGTGCCCCTGATTAGAAGTAATCAGTATCGATTTTTTAAAAATGTCACTTACAGGGAAAACGTGATGCATTGTCAATACAACAGAATTAGAGTATCGGGTTTCCCAACGAAGGCGAGGAAACCAAATGCTGGATGTGCTCACTCATGAAATGTTAACCGAAATTCGATTTTCGAAACCCTGATAAATTTAAACATATTTCATAGAAAACGTGCATAAAAATATTCACTCTTTTACTCCTTCGGTAGAAAATTAAGTCTTCTGCAAATTTTACACTTAAAAGAAGAGTTTACTTGGGTTTTGAAAATGTTTCTTATAACGAGATATTTTAGAACAGTGATATGCCCTTTCATAAAGCATTGTGCCTCTACATTTACCAGTGTTGTCTGTGAGGTTTGCAATATGGCTCAAACCCACTGCCAAATTATATGAACTCTATGTGATCGCCTCTAAATAACGCATAAAAATGTATGACTTTGCGTACACGGAAAACATGCAGCTTGTAATTTGGAAATCCAGAATGCAAGTTTAACGGCAGAGCTGGCTCAAAACTGTTTGGGAATTGGAGACATTTTTTAAAACCGAATTATACTATTCGTTTAAATTTAAAATTTGAAGAAGATGTAATTTTCTATTAAAGGAGTAAAGGAGTGAGTATTTTTATGCGCGTTTTCTATAAAATATGTTTAACTTTATAAGGGCAGCGAAAATCAATGAAAAAATTTCACGTCACTTAAATAGTCGTTTTTTACAGAGCTCAGTTTTTGCAGACGCCCAAAAAGAAGCTCGTCCAAAAGCCGGCATGTCGAAGTAAATGGCATATCGTAGGATTATGCTGTATTGTAATTACTACTACATTTCTACTTAATTGATCTTCTCGTGTCGAAAAGGCATTTCAGAATTTCGGTTAGCTTTGCATGAGTTAGTACACCTACTGTAACTTACGCAAATTCCATTCTTTTTTTAAGTTACTGTCCTGTAGTTTGCTTCGAAACAACTGATATAAGCTCATTTTAATTGACCTTTTAGGTAGCGATTCAATCTGGGAATTGGTTAATTTTGTCTGCATAATAATGAACTCTTGGTTCTCGGAGTACGAGATTGCATCCATTACTTCTATCATTATGGCAAAAATAATGCAAGATATGATCTGATAAAATCACTTTAAATCTAAAGCCTCTAAATATCTTTCATATGCCGAGAGAAAGAGAGAACTTCTTCGCATAGACTTACGATGACAGAAATCATAACCAACAAAAAAATATTAAAAATTTCTGTAAGATCTTAAGCAAGCGCGGACTGGACTTTATAGACCGCTTATGGCGCATTCAACAATAAGTAGCAATTAGGCACTTATAAACATCATTAAAGGTGTTTCCTCCTTGTTATAATAATAACTGCGCCCAGCATTTTTTAACCTTCATTTTAATTCCTTTTTACTGCCTAAGTGATCTTTCCTGCACTCGGCTTTTGTGCATTCGCATGCGCGAATGTCACCGTCTGAGTGATTGCTAATTTTTAGTTGAATAATTCTTTTTGTGTGGTTCCACTCGACTGTTGGCCGTCCTCACACACACACACACACACACACACACACTATGATTTCAAACAACGGGGGTTGAACGGCGTGTCTCTCACTTGCGTGAGAGGGCCGTGGAAGGTGCTGCTTCAGCCCGTCGCCCAGCCCACCAGTCCGCCACTCCACACAACACGCACACGCACACACACACACACACAGCGCGGCGAACTGCGTGGATCGAGTGGGGGCCCCCAATCAGCAACCTCCCTATCCACGACGCCTGACGTGTTGGGATAGTCTCAGACTCAAACCACCCGTGCAGCCGGAGCCGCATGGGGACCGAGTCGAGATGCACACTTCCCACTTGCGTGGATGCTTGCGGTGGGTGAGTGGTGATGTGTAGTGGTGGTGGTGGAGGAGGAGGAGGAGGAGGAGGAGGAGGAGGAGGAGGCAGGGAGGGGGGGTGTTGTGATGTGGTGAAGCCGGCGATTGTCTACCACAGGTCGCCGTGGATGCGCATGTGGCCGAATAGGCCCATGCGATGCCTGAAATTGCGAGGACAGTGTGGGCGGTTGAGTCGAGTGTGGTGGGTGTAGGTTGGTGCTCCAGGCACTGGTTCTCCAGTCTCTGTGCGATGGATGCGCAAATGGCCGACCAGGCCGATGCGTGAGGTGGATGTGCGTGGACAGTGCGGGCAGGTGGAGTCGGTGGTGTCAATGTCAGCTGCGGGAAGGCCGGTGGGTGCGCAGGGTGATGAAATGGGGGTGGGGTTTGGCATGGTGGATGAGTCGGTACTGCGGTCAATTCTGCTCTCATGAATGCGCATGTGACCGAAGAGACCCATGCGATGCGCGAATGTACGAGGGCAGTGTGGGCAGTGGAGGCGAGTGCGGTGGGTGTAGGTTGGTGCTCCAGGCACTGGTTTTCCAGTCTCTGTACGATGGATTCGCAAGTGACCGACCAGGCACACTCACACACGCACACAGTTAATGCCCAACACTGATATCTGGATAAGCATAGGAAGACACGCATTTCTCTCATGCGCGTAGACCCTCCCAATATTGCCACCCATAAGAGCTATGTGTTATGTTCTTTGCCTCAAGTTTCTTATGAAGATGCATGTTAAAGTAAGTTTTGAGCAACTGTTTACGATCTTGACAGAAATGCCCAAATTTTAAGAAAGTTAGACTTAGCACGATGTCGAAATTTAGGGCCTTAAAGCAAGGTTACCAGCCGTGGCATTCGGAAACTATTTCTGAACTGGTGAGCTGTGAGGGACCATTAGCATAGATATAGAACCTAACAAAATGCATGCTTAACTGTGCATCCAAATGGACGTGGATAGCATACAAGTGCTATAATATTACTAGGACTGATTTTGCATCAATTTACTCGGTGTGGCATTCTGGTTCTCCACTCAGCGTGATCAGAGAAATTGCAACCTTGCTCCTGTATGATTTTCCGACTTTTTATGCATTAGAGAGCAATGATAAATCGTCTCCCTATTATACAACTGTTTAATACAATTATTCATATGAAAAGGCAATGCCAAATCGTGTCGTATTTTAAAATAAAACATTTCTCGAACTATTACAGGCATTTTGTTTTTTTCAATGTTTCCAAACTTCTATACACCTACTTTCTGTTGAAATACTTTCATTAACTCCTCATGTTGCTGTGAGTGCATATTCTGCACGTTAATGGGACTTCGAAGGAGGTCGAGGCGTTGGTGACAGCAGTGGTTTGCAGACTGGACTTAATTGAGTAACTTGAACCACCTGGCCAAATTGCCATATCCAATAAGCACTTGGAATGTCCTTGCAGCTCGCTCAGATTGCTACATAAGAAATTAAATCTTCCTTTTAGATCAGGCGCGGAGATTCCAGAAAAATACTGCACGGAGTGGCTTCTGGTTGATTAGCGCCTGAGCATTGCTCGCTAATATCCCACTCAAAATAGGAAACCAGTAATTTGCTTTTCCTGTTTATGAGTCAAATGGAAAGCTTGTCGTCCTACTGCACTGACAATGCGACAAGAATCTGCTCTTCGGATATGTCCACAAAAAGATTCGATAAAACCAACTAAACAGAATCGTTTCGATCACCACGGAAAACGCATGCTCCTCTTGGTCTAAGTTTGCAAGTAACAATGGAGATAGGGGCTAAAAGTCAAACTCCCCCGCCTAGACTTCCTCCTGCAGAGTCCAAAAAGTGACCAGCATGCATTACCACTAAATATTTTAAATGAATAGACAAGTTTTACCTATGGTACTGCGAAATGAATAAGGAGAAGAAGGAAGTACTTTTGCAAACGTTTGCCAATACAGGTAATAAATTCTTAATGAGCTGTCTAAAATCCATCACGAGAATGCCCTGTCTATTAAGCACGAGGTACAATGTGCCGGCTTCTGGATGAAATCATATATAATAGAACAGTTCTTCTACAGAAGCCTTGCATTTGGTACTCTTTTAGTCGTTTTTGATTGGACAAATGAAATACTCGGTGGGAACCAAATCAGGCTGGCGGAATATAGGAGCAACGAGTGTTATAAGGTAGTATTGGGAGAGTCTTACTCCAGCCTTCCGACATGCATGTGCAATGCGCAGCTCAAAATCATTTGCTCATCCTGCCAATATATGGTGTCGTGGTAGACGAGTTGAGCGTATTTCGTGGATGCCTCGGGTGTTTACGCTCAGAGCGCCAAACTGTCAAGCGCCCTTATTGCTCAAATTCCAACCCCACGAAAACAATCAGTAGAAGATTGTCGATTCCCTTTTAATAAGACAGAAAATTGATTATGCAAGAAAATATTTCGTTTTCAACATGAGTAGTTTTAGATTTCATGAGAGACGGTTTGAAGGACCTGTTGGCACGTAAGACATTGGACACTGCAGCAAAAAATGGTCCTCCGAGATAAAAATAACATACTCTCAGTCATTTTCATGTGTTTCGCGCCTCAGATTGCGTGGATCTCTTAAGTGGTCTTCTTCTCTCTCCAAAAGACCCTCAAGCTTGAGTGAGAAAACTCTTTGCTTGGTTAACACAGTTATCTAATCCCCATGGGTGGCTTCAATGCTGCATTACCTAGGCAGGTAACAATCTTGTTATACGTGTCCGCTTATTGCATGGGTTATTCCCATGAGCAACCTTGCGGGCCTATCAGGCCCACTTTTATAATTTGCCTTTTGGGGACAAACTACCCCCTGACCCAGTATTCTCAACTTCCCAGTCCTTCGTTGGCGTTATACCAACAAGGTTTCCTGGCTGTTGGATAGAGAGTAAAACAGGCCGTGATGCTTTATGACAAGATTTCTAATGAAAGTCCGCAGTATCCTCGAGAATTTTTAAGTGTGACAACATGGCACCAATATTCGTATGGTTTTTTAGTTCTTTTTTCTAACTAAGGAAAAGTGGTCAAGCATCGGTGTCGCGTATTTATTTCTTCAAACTTCCTATTCGTAAAGGAGTCCATCACCGAAAATAAACGCGAACACACTCGGCGTCTTGTACAGGACGTGATCATGACACATAGTGAAGAAAACCGGTTGTTCGGTTTAACATGAGTATTTTGTCCCTAGGCCCTCCTCAGGGACAGTGCCCGCTCTGTTTCACTGCCGGAAGAAACCTAACCAGACGGCAAGTTAGCAAGCCTCTTGACGAGTCATCAGTCCGTTAGCAGTGAGCTCTTGTTTTGGTAGCAAACTCGCTGAGAGGAGGGACTCCCTAGCTCACCGATTTTCGTTCGTTATCTTTTCCTTTGTTGTCACACTGACTTCAATATTTTAGTTTCGCTCCTCAGAGCAGACCCGCAGACCTGTCGATTCTCATTGGAGGTTTCCTGCAATGACTGCTAGATTCCCAGGTACCCGAGCGAAAACATTGGAGGAACCACGCAACCTCGTTCTCATTCTCTTTGTTGGAAAGCTCCTGAAACAATACCGTCATACAGTATCTGTCTGCGTGTTTTAGCTTGATGTGTGCGCATCACGGTAAATAAACAGTCATCTTCTAACGTCGCGTCCAAAGACAGTTCAGGCATAAGTGACTGACTGCTCTTGCTTGCTACTAGTAGGACGCTCACATTGCAGTGCTATGATAGTATGCTCTCCAACGCGAACAGTGCCGTCAGTAATTGGGAGCAACGATGGTTTACATGTAATTCAGACGATAATTAAGACAACTTACGCGACGTCAGCCTCTCTCAATCTCTTTCTCTCCAACTCACCATGTTCCAGCAGTAAGACAAGACCACAGCTACTGAGATATTTTAGGACGCATGAAGTTACCGGGATTTCGAACCCATCTACACAGGTCGAACGTGATGATTCCCTAACCGGTGTGCATCAGACCTTACCCGGACACCCGTCTCATATCCGAATATCTGACCCCATTTTATATCTGACACAATAGTTCTGTGCATTTTGGAACCGCACAGTGCTTCAAAAGTATGAGGTCAGCACGGAACTTCATAAACTATCTGATTCTGAATCAGTGGATCGATGAGACAACGCTAAGGTACAGGTGATTAAAATTTTCGAAAGTCTCCACAAGTTCTAGATACTTTAACCTAAACTGCATGAGCGATTCTGATGTAGATCATAAGCATTTTCTGCAACTTTATCCGCGACTTCAAGACGATGACGGGTCGCAATAGTTACTGGTTCACTGTGCTGTGCCGTCTCCACTGGTCGGACCATAACTACTATCACAGTGCTGAGGACAATTGTGATTAAAGAGGTCTGAGCTCTACTACGCCTTCATCTCAGGATGCCCTGGACAGGACGCCTATTAACAAGGAACCTGTAAATGTCGGGGACAAAATATCAATGCTCAGCCATCCTTCCCAAGACCTGGGGACTATATTCCTCCCAACCCCTCCCAGCCCATTGGCCTGGTCAGCATCAATCGAACCACAGCTGGGAATTCGCCAGCCCATTCAGTGTGCGGCCATCAAATGGAAACATTCTCCACTGTCAAGATCTGACTGATGTCCACCTGCGGGGTGGGCTGATAGCAAGATAAAGCAAGGCGGGGTATAGTTCAAAAGGCAGGGTCTGAGTATAAGGTCTACTAGGCGGGGCGATGCAGGTGGAAGGTCGAACGAATATGAGGTGTAAGAAAACGGGGAAGGCAGCGTGGGAGCGAAAAAGAAGAGGTCGTATGTTATGAGGCTGTCAGTCTCGGTTTGAAGAGGCGTGGTCTACAGCCGACCCGGGAGGCCAGATCGACGGCGAATGCGCGTCAGTCACGCACACACACACACTCCGGGAGGTTGGTGGTGTTGGTGGTTGGTTGTGTTGTACCCACATCAAAATCCCCGTCACGCCTTCAGCCAGCACAGTGGCAGACGTCCTAGTTTGCAGCCAGCCGGACCGGATAAAGGGGGCTGGTGGGGTAGCGTCCGCGCGGCGGTTGAGGTGAGGAGGCAGACAAGTGGAAAAATACGCGTGTTTGTCCATGATGTGTGATGGACGACCTAATTTCGGAAACTTGGTGGGGTACTTTCCGTTGGTCATAAAACGTTCAGCTGCTGAATAAAAAGGAGCCATGAAATATGGGTTCGTTCAATTTTGCCACAGCTGGCAGTTTTATTTCTTGGCAACATTTTAGTCCCGCAAACTTTCACACCAGCGTATACGAGCTAAGTTTCGACAGACAGGATTTCTCCCCAGTAGGCCTGCACGATTATACAAGCACCTTGAACTTGAATACAAATTGAAAATGGAATGATTATCTTATTAAGAAGGTTGTCTGCAGGGTGGAGGAAGACGAAATAACGTGTCCTTGGCAAGTATCTTTCGTAAAATTGTGTGTGGACAGTCAGCAAATCAACCTTTGGTCACG